CCTGGTGTAGTGGTGAGAGCTATCTCACTGAGTCACCAGGTCATGGGTTCAAAGCAGCCTCTCCATAGATTTTGCGGGGGGGAAGGCTTGCCTCGATTTTTCCCTTCCCCAGACCCCACTCACGTGGGAGCCTCTGGCACTAGATCTACCCTTTTTGTTTCTGCAAACTTCGCTTTTGGGTCTTAATCGTGAGAAAGGGTCGGACATAGAAACTATCTACCGGATAGATATGCTCTTATTAGCCCCCGAGTGAGGCCCGACCCCCCGTCGTTGCTGGGGTCGAGTGTCACTAAAGGTTGGGAGTTAGATAGCAAAACTAATAAGAGAAAGTGTGTGTTTATTAAGGATAAAAGAGATGTAGCTGCTCGATATTCCAGGTATTGACAAAAACTTCGCCGTCGATGGCCTTGAGCTTGTAGGCGCCTAGTAGGAGCACCTCCGCGGTGACGTACGGTCCCTCCCACGGCGGAGAGAGCTTGTGGCAATTTTTATTGCTCTGGATGAGGCAGAGCACCAGGTCCCCGATGTTGAAGGCCCGACCCCACACTCGACGGCTATGGTACCAGCACAACGCTTGCTGGTACTTGGCCGAGCGGAGGAGGGCGACGTTGTGCGCTTCATCTAGCTGGGCTCCTTCCTATGCTCCCCCTTGTTGGAACCTTCAGACAAGAACCGCTTCAAGAGGTCGCAGTCCATGTATAGGTGCTCAATGGGGAAACAATGGGTCGGGCATGGCCCTTCGAGCAGCTCGTCAAAGTGGATCGGGGTACCCTCGGCGGGCTTCTAACGCCCTTTGCGGTTGGCGGCGGCCACGAACAAGCCCTCACACCGCTGCTTGTTCCTCTTCTTGGTGGGATGGTTGGAGGCGCCTTCGCCGGCGTCCTCGTTCTGCTTCGCCTTGCCTTTGAGGCGGTCGAAGATGGCTCCGACTGCCTCCTTGCCCAAGGCGTGGCTGGTGGCGATGTCGAGGAGCCCCTTGGTGGTTCGTGGGCCCTTGTGTCCCAGCTTATGGACCAGGGACTCGCAAGTGGACTCAGATAAGAAAGCTCCTATGATGTCGGCGTCGGCAAACGTTAGGCAGCTCATTGCACTGCCGGGAGAAGCGCCAGATGTACCCCCGAAGGGTTTCCCTGGCCTTTTGCCGATAGTTTTTGAGATCCCATGGGTTCCCAGGATGCTTGTACGTGCCCTGGAAGTTTTTTCACGATGATCTCTTTTAGGTTCACCCAACTTTGGATTCTGTTGGGCGGAAGGTGTTCCAACCATGTTCGCGCCGAATCGGCTAGAAACAATGGAAGGTTACGGATAATGAAATCATTATTATCCGCTCCATCGGTTTGGCAAGCAAGCCGATAATCCTCGAGCCACAGTTCGGGGTTCGTTTCCCTAGAGTATTTTAGGACGTTGGTTAGTGGTCGGTACCGTGACGGGAAGGAGGCGTGGCGGCGTTGAGGATGTGTTGGCCGAAGGTCTGAGGTCCCGGTAGGCTGAGGCTCGGGCTTTGGGCCTCGCCGTTGTTGTAGCCCCCGCCACGATGAGGGTGGTAATCGCGGCTAGCTCCCTCCCCCACATTGCCACGGGTGCGCCTACGGACGTCGAGGGTGTCATGCGCGTCACGGTTGCGGCCGAGACACTCATGCACCGGAACCATGGTGCACAACCTATCGCCTTGCGGTGCCTGGTGGACTGATGCGTCCTTGTTGGGTCGCTCCGAGGGCGTGCGCTGGCTAACGTCGAGCTCGTGTCGTCGAGACAACGAGCTTTCGGCTTGCTGCGCCGCCGCACGCTCGAGTAGCGTGTGAATCTCGCAATGGGCCCGACGATCCTCAGGCGTCATGGGCCCTAGAAGCCCACGGAGCAAGGCTGCCGCAGCGACGATGTTCTGGCTCGCTCGGGCGAAGTGTGGAGGGCTTCATCGTCCTCGATGATCCTTCGGTTCACATCGCGGGACATAGCGCGCGCCCACCATGTCCGTGGCGCTCGATCTCTCGATCGAGCTCCGTGCGTTCTTGCTCAACCTTGAGTCGTGCTTCCTCGAGCTCTTGGTGCCGGGCCTTCAGCTGCTCCATCCGCAAGCGGGGTGGAGCCCCTGTATCCCCCTCGACCTCGTCGTCGAGGTCATCGTCGGGGTAGCCTCCTCCTCGTGGGTGCTTTCAACATGTCCCTCAGGGGTACCTGTCATAAAACATTCATGAGAGAGGTGATGGCTCCCTCTGCTGGAGTCAGAGGCAGAGGGCGACCCCGTTTCTTCCGTGAGGAGGTCATGGAAAGACTCCATGATATGTTCGGTCATCCCTACAAAGTCGTCGTTCACGGCAAAAGGAGGCGCGTGTTGCGCCACAAGGTGGCCAACGATCTTTGCGGCACTACGGAGACCGAACGGGAGCGCTGTCGGGGTGCTCCGGATGGGGTATTCTAGAGAGAGTGGCTCCCCTCCAGCAAGTTACGCCATGACGTTGGTGAACGAGAAGGTGAGATGGCGCAGGTCCTCTCAGGACGGTCGGGGTCCTAGGAAGGCGCCGAGACGGTGCTCTAACCTCCCGTAGTCAAAGTCGAGGAGCTGGTCGCTTTTGGGGGGGCGGGCCTCCGGTGCGTGCAGCTGCAGCTCCTCAAGTGCCTCGGTGATTGCATCGAGGGCGGCGGAGTGGAGAGGTCGGACGGCGGCGGGAGCCATTGCCAACTCTCCCTTCGTCGTGACGATGAAGTCCAGGTCCTCGAAGCACACGTGCGCGCCCGGGACCCAGCTGAAGTTGTGACTAGCCATCCGAGGCCTGGTGTGGATGTCGAGACGTGCAAAAGGCCCCTACCGGCGCGCCAACTGTCGGTGTTTTGAGTTGCCACCGACTAGTAAATTTCTAATATTGCGCGTCTGGCTCGAATGGTGTGCTAAAAGGACATGAGGTTTATACTAGTTCTGGCAGAATGTCTCTACGTCCAGTTCGTTGCTGCTGCTCGTGTTACTAGCACTGAAAGTTCATAATAGGAGTTACAAACGGTCGAGAGAGGGATAGGTCCCAAGTCTCTGGTGAGAGGAGCGAACGGGTGCCGAGAGCTCGATCGCTTCCCGGCTGTGTGCTCGTGTGTTCTGATGGGTTAGGGGTTCGATGGGTTCGAGTCCCAATTGATGCGATGTGTTGCGATGCCCCTTATGGGATGCCCTGCTTTCTATTTTATAGGCCAAGGGAAAGAACGGGTTACAGTGGAGGAAAAAGAGGTGAATGAGAAGGAGAAGAAGTCCTCTAGGATCGCCGGGTCCTTTTTTTTCCTTCACGCGGGTTCCGCCGACCCTGTAGACGTTAACAGGGACAGCTCCATGTCGCGGTCCTATCCGTCATTGGCGTCATGCGCAGACGTTGTCTCCCGGTCGTGGCACTCCACTCTGTCCTGGCGGACGTCATGGTGAACTGACGCGCCTGTCAGTCCTCGTATGAGGGTTAGGCAGAACAACACCGGTATGCCCGACACTGTTCCTGATGTGAATCCTCAGGTATGGCTCGTCACGGCCATAGGTTATATTGGGGTGTGCCGGTCACCTTCCTGGTGTCAAAGCTTTGACTCAGGCCCATTCGTCTGGACCTGGAGTGGTTGGCGGCGGTATGGGTCTTTGTCGGGTGAGACGGATCCCCCGGCCTCAGGGTCGGTCGAGGCGGAGTCCCTCCCCAGAGGCCGAGCGAGGCGGAGCCAGCCCTCAGTGATCGGGCGAGATGGAGCACAAACCCAAGGATCGAGCGAGACGGAGCCCGCCCCTAGAGGCCGGGCGCGAGGCGGGCCAGCCCTTAGAGGTCGGGCGAGGCAGAGCCCGCCATCAGAGGTCGGGCGAGGTGGAGTCCGCTCTCAGAGGTCGGACGAGGCGGAGTCCGCACCTAGAGGTCGGGCGAGGCGGAGCGCAAACCCAAGGGTCAGGTGAGGCGGAGCCTGCCCCCAGAGGCCGGGCGAGGCAGAGCTAGCCCTTAGAGGGCGGGGAGGAGTGAGGCCTCGAGGTGTCGGCCAGGCGTGAGCCCGCCTCAAGTCGGGTGGAGAGTGAGCCCGGCCTCGGGAGAGTGAGCCCCTGAGGTCTGGCGAGATTTTGAGACCCTCGTACACTAGGGGGTCGGTTTGAGCTATAGTTGCGCTCTTGACTGCTCGAATGATTCAATGTTGATGGTTATTAGCTCATCCTCTTCGGGTAATTTAGTATTGGTCCCCGATAATTTTTATATCTAAATAAATTTATTAAAAAATTAGATTCAAAGATCTTTACAACGATACCAATTATGAACCATAAATATTAATATTTTTTAATATGTACTTTGTCAAAGTTATTTCTTAGGAAGCGAAAACGACAGATTTTTTTTTTGGGACGGATGGAGTATTTTGCATTTATGACCCATAGCAAAATCGTTATTCTCTTGGCAACGTTTGCTTGTGTGTTTTATTTAATATAATAAAAAAGGCGCATATCATGACACGAACGGATTGTGTGGCCAACATCCATATCCATATGGTTGTTGCGACAAAACTTGGAAAAACTCCGGAAACCTTTAGGTCGAAGAACCGAGTGGCAACGACCTCGTCCGTGGCCGTGGCTCGTGGCCGCGAATGATTCAATCAAGCACACGCCTGGATGGATTGATGGAAGCGTGGAGCGGACGGACTCGCCTCGTGCCTCCTGTCGCCACCCCCATGCGACGTGAGAGGCCCGGGCCCGGTCGGCCCCACCCCCAGCGTGAGCAGCGAGCGACGAAAGGAGAGGACAATGGTATCCACAAAACAAATCCCACATGAGCAAATGGCTGACGAGGACCCTGATCGACGGGAAGGAAAGCAAACCAAAACGGCGACACGCCGAGCAAAACAAGCGAAATCCCCACCCCGGCTGCTGACAGACAGCCAGCCGCCCCCGCCCCGCTGCTGCTCGCTGCTCTGCCGCCGCGCCCGCTCCTGCCTCCAGCCTCCTGCTGATATATATATTCAGATCCGAGCCCCGAGCAAGTATCTTCCCTCCTCGACGTCCAGGCACCATGGATTGGGCTGCTCCGGCATTGACGAGCTTCGTCGCCGACTCGTCGTCCTTCCGCCACCTCTGCTGCTACGGCGCCGGAATCGCAGGTTAGTACTTATCCTTAGCCACCCAGCCGACATTCTATCTGTTCTTGTCTTCCCCTTCTCGCTCTGGGCGAGTCCTGGACTCCAAAACTTTGCTGCTGAATTTGATTGGCAGAGTTCTCGGCAGTTCCTCATCATCTCATAGTATCGCTGATTGCTGATTGCTGTTTGTGATTCGTCGTTTCAGGAAACGTCTTCGCCTTCGTGCTCTTCATCTCCCCACTGTAAGTTCCTCCCCTCTTTCTTCTGATTGAGCTGTCAGCCGATTACTCTCAAGACGACGAATTTCCCCCCTTCTTTTCGTCCTCAATCGGTTCCAGCTGTAATGCCCGTCGCTTGCATTGCAGCCCCACATTCAAGCGGATCGTCCGGAACGGGTCCACGGAGCAGTTCTCGGCCATGCCGTACATCTACTCGCTGCTCAACTGCCTCATCTGCATGTGGTACGGCCTCCCCTTCGTCTCCTACGGCGTCGTCCTCGTCGCCACCGTCAACTCCATCGGCGCCGTCTTCCAGCTCGCCTACACCGCCGTCTTCATCGCCTTCGCCGACGCCAAGCAGAGGGTGGGTGCCCCGCCTGCGTTCTTGCTAGTCCTGTGCGAATTCATTAACATAGATAGGTACTGAATGAGTTCTTATCCTTGTTGCAGCTGAAGGTCTCTGCTCTCCTGGCCGCCATCTTTGTGGTGTTCGGACTGATTGTGTTTGTTAGTTTGACTTTGTTGGATCACACAACCCGGCAGATGTTCGTCGGATATCTCAGCGTCGCGTCCCTCATATTCATGTTCGCGTCCCCCTTGTCAATCATCGTGAGTTCTTATTCTTACGGTTTGTGTTGTGATGAATATTTTGCATATCCTTACCTGACACTATTAGGCTTTGTTTTGGCCACGTCTTCTTTTAGGACCTTTTGATGAATGATCCAAATTCGTTCCGTTATTGTTTGGCAGAATCTGGTCATCAGGACGAAGAGCGTGGAGTACATGCCCTTCTACTTGTCATTATCTATGTTTCTGATGAGTGCATCATTCTTCGGATACGGAGTGCTGCTGCGTGATTTCTTCATATATGTACGGTTCACGTTTCCTATTTGTTGGTTGAATTTTTTGCTTGGATTGGAAGGGTGTCTAACTGCATGTCTGTTAGTTGTGCTCATCTTGTTTGTTTCACTATTTCAGATTCCAAATGGTATTGGAACCATACTGGGTATCGTGCAGTTGATGCTGTATGCCTACTTCAGAAAAGGATCAAGCGAGGCAGCCAGGCTGCCATTGCTAGTCACACATACATGAGCATGACATTCACTCTCTTCCTGCTGGCCTGTGGCTACACCTGTACCACAACTTTACAACTGTTTACTAGTGATGTTCTAGCAGCTGCATATTTTGTAGTTTTGCTTCAATTCTCACTCAAATGTAGACAAATACTTGGAGGGAGTGGGACCTTTGATTTGTGAGCGGAAAGCTCTAGTTCTGTTCTGTCACCAACTATTCATCATGTTGATTTGTTCTCTCCTGAAAGCCAGCATTAACATAAGCAAAACTGGATTTCTTTTTGTAAAGGTAGATGGTGTGTTCTCTTAGCATACGCAAGTCTAAACCAAACAAAAGAAAACACATCATACCATCATAGATAAATTCTTCAATTAAGTGCTGCTTATGGTCAACACAAAAAGTCTGTATATATCTAATGTTTGGATAACCTGCAAGCAATCACATGTTTATTTGAAAATCTTTGCTTCAATAGAGACTGCCAAAGACATATAAGAAGCAACTTCACTTTTACACAAGATGTTTGTTCAATTAAACACAAATGCGTGGTCAATGAAGACGTAGGTAGCTTTTTTATTCGGTGTCACTTTCTTGCAAGATATTGCTGTCTTTTGGTACGGCTCAAAATGTTTTGGGCTCTGTTCGCCTGAGCTTATAAGCCTGAATCAATCCTATTTTTTCAGCCATGGAACAATATTTTTCTCTCACAATAAATCAACCCTATAAATCAGCCGTGTGAGCAGTAAGTTCTGCCGAACGGAGCACAATGCTGTAAACATGGCCACCATTCAACAAATATTATATTATTCTGACTTCAGCTCGAGAATAATAGATGTTGCTGGATCTGAGCTAGCACTAAATCAATCTAGTCTCTCCGAATTTTCAGGTTCGCTGTTGGACTTTCTCGAAATCCTTTGGGCGCGTACAGTACTCGCTATACTGTATTCTGCTGTATGCTAGGAAAAACTTGACCTGTCAGTGGTCAATGGCGACCTATCCCATTCACAAAAGTCCAGGTCGCTGTACTTGTCCAAATTGTTTTGCTCCTGTGAAAAGCATGATGTTCTTTCGTTTTATTTACACGCAACGGGGATCATAGTTTCGCTGTATATACCATGGTAGATGCTGCAAGTTGTTGATGGAGTCATTCGTTTATTATGAGTGCGTGAGTGAAGTTTTGTATTATATTACTAGTAGTGTTTGCGTGGACTTCGTCGGACCCAATTTTTTATAATTTGGTTTTTTTTAAAGAAAATTTATGTTTGACTTCTTGGAAGATTTAAACTCATCTTTAGACCCTGGGGCCGGCGCCAGAACTCATGACGCCGAGATAACATGTCTCGGCGCCACAGATCTTAGCTCCGAGTTACCTGGTCGAGCACAGCAAAGCATCCTAGGTGGTGTTGACGTAGCCGATACCTCGACGTCCGAATATATGGCTCCGAACTCGGCGCCACAGATCTTGACGCCGATCTCAGAGCCGTCAGATGATGTGCTGGGGTGCAGATGGAGAGCTGTAGCGTCAAATCATCATCATCTAGCCGCGTTGGGCTGCCACCTGCTGAGTCCGCGCAGGGAGCGGCGTGGGCCCCAGCTGTCCGCGTTGAGAGGCAGGACGCATGACAGGTGCATGCGGACCCGTGGTGCAGACGGGTGCAGGTGCATGCTGTGCTGTGGTTCCGCCATCACATCACCTCGCTCTATGTACCGGTACATGTTCATGGATATTCAGGCCTTGTTTAGTTTACATCAAAATTCCAAGTTTTTTCACTCTCTCCCTATTCATTTTTACTTGTATATGTATTAAATATTACTAATTCTTTAGAGATGAATAAGAGACAAGGTTATATTTCATTGACTATTCCATATTATTCACAATTACTCGCATCTAGCCCCTATTCATGTACGTATATGTATATTTATTTCTTTAGTAAGAGCAGGTTATATTTCATTGAACCATATTTTACTACTTCAGTTTAGTTGTAAGTTCTGTATTTAACAGGTGTAAATTTTTGATATTTTTGAATTTGTTCTAATTTGCTTGTTATAGAACTAATCTGTTTTTTTTTCTATATTTTTTTTAATTTGTGTGTTTTATTTGATATTTTTGAATTTCTTCCAATTTGCCATTCATAGAACTAATATGTTAAATTTGTATGCCATATGCGCAGGCCACATCTAGGCCCGGGCAATCATTAATTGGGTCTTTGTTCTTCTCTTTAGATAAGATAAGATGATTGATGCACCGCGTCAATCTTAAGCAACTTATTTCGTGACACACATGAGCTCCAGAAAACAAACAACCGTACTTTAATTTAATTATCTGAAATGATTTGATTTGATGTTTGGTTGAGCTTTAAAAAAAGACCACGCTGCGAAGGGTCTGTCTACTCTCAACTCGAGTATGTGACACAGTCCTCTAAAACACTCTATTCCAAGAACCATGCAAAATTCGAGTGTTAAGACCAAGTCACACTAGATTTCCATAGCCACACACTCAGCATCTAACGAACCAAATTAAAGAGAACATATAACTACAAATTATCACGTATCAGATTTAATTCTATGGAATGCAAATCGAAAGAAATCCAGATAGAAAACAAATAAAACATACAAATTTAACATATTAGTTCTATGAATGGCAAATTGGAAGAAATTCAAAAATATCAAATCAAACATACAAATTAAAAAAATTATAGAAAAAAAACCAGATTAGTTCTATAACAAGCAAATTGGAACAAATTCAAAAATATCAAAAATTTATACCAGTTAAATACAGAACTTACACCTAAATTGAAGTAGTAAAATATGGTTCAATGAAATGTAACCTGCTCTTACTAAAGAAATGAATATACATATACATACATAAGTAGGGGCTAGATGCGGAATGAATATCCACAAACATGTACCGGTACATAGAGCGAGGTGATGTGATGGCGGAACCATAGCACAGCATGCACCTGCACCCGTCTGCACCACGGGACCGCATGCACCTGTCATGCGTCCTGCCTCTCAACGCGGACAGCTGGGGCCCACACCGCTACCTCACATCTCCTCCCATGCGCGGACTCAGCAGGTGGCAGCCCAACGGCTAGATGAATTGACACTACAACTCTCCACCTGCAGCGTAGCACATCATCTGACGGCTCCGACGTCGGCGCGTCGGCGCCAAGATCTGTGGTGCCCAGCTCAGAGTCATGTATTCTGGACGCTGAGGTACCGACCACGTTAACTAACATCACCTAGGATGCTCTGCTGTGCACATCCAGGCAACTTGGAGCCAAAATCTATGGCGCCAAGACGTGTTGCCTCGGCGCCATGAGTCCTGACACCGACCCCAGGGTCCAAAGATGAGTTTAAGTCTCCCCGGAGGTCAAACGTAAATTTTCTTTAAAAAAAAGAGCCAAATTATAAAAAATTAAGATGGATGGCGCCTCCTGTATATACACAAAGAAAAGCAATTAGAGGATATTGTTATAGTTATCAATAAAAGAAAATTTGTTTCGTCATCTTAACTTGTTTGTCCGGATCTCTCGTGACACCAATGGGCAAGACTCATTTATACTAGGATATTGTATTGTCCCTCTCAAAAAACCAAAGGATATTGTATTGTCGGATAAGGATAATGATTTGCATGTTCCACGAACCGTCCGATGAACTAGAGCGAATTTCCACAATTTTCAAGAGAAATATCCTCACGTCAAAGGCTCAAAAGCACCCAGCTAGTATACTTTTAATACAGAGTATTTATTCTGTGTTCTGCTTTTACAGCTGGAAAAACTCCTGTGTATATGCATTTGGCTTGTATAGTTTACACACGAGAAATGTTGCAAATGATTGAAAATTTTTTGCAGAAGAGGCTGCTATCTGGGTATTATTTCTTCTTTCGGATTCTACACAAACACAAGAATGAATGTATAGCTTCTTTCTTCTGTACCGACGCAGATCGAATAAAAAAATTGCAAGTTAACAGCCGAAAGCGTGCAGTATGCCCAGCTGAAGTTAATGAGAAAAGGTTTTCGGTGGTGACTCAGTAGATCCGCTCAGCTGTGGAGACGGGGCGAAGAAACACGACAATGACAGTGATATTGTCTTTGCTGCCCCGCTCTGCAGCCTCCGTGGCCAACCTCTTGGAGCACATTCCAGGCTCTTTAACTGTGTCCTTGATTATTGACAGCACATCCTCGTTGCTTACCATATCCCATAGGCCATCACTAGCCATCACCTACAAGAAATTGAATGAAGTTATTGTGAATCTTAGATATTATTTCAGTGAATCGCTTGATATTTGCTGAATAATCAACACCAAAGTGGTGCAGGAATTCTGTGGCAATCATTTATTCTTTTAAAAAGATGACAATAATTTCAAAGAGCAGTTTGATGTAATGTAAGCGAGGGACACAATAATACACTTAAGAGCATTATATCCAATAAGTTTCATATCCAATTTTTTTTTTCTCGAACAACGCAGGAGAGCTGCGTGTCATTTCATTAAGAGAGAAAAGACAGTACAAAAGTCCGGTTAAGGACTAAACCCCAGCCAAGAACACACCCCACACTTCTACAAAAAGAGGCCTATATACGCGCCACAGACACAAACACGACCTCGACCAAATACCCCCAGACCTAGGCTGTTGGGGCCTGCGACCTCAACAGGAGTTCCTGGAGCTTAAATGCTCCAGCCATCCCCCTTCAATGGATATCATGAGTTAACAAAGCTAAGTAAACAATTCAATGGATATCATGAGTTAACAAAGCTAAGTAAACAAAGTATTTCTGAAAATTCAAAATGCACATCCACATGCTTTGATTTGAAGTGCTCCCAGTCTGGTGGGTTGTGGTATTTAAATTAGTTTAATAAGTATTGGATTATGACAGAAAGTGATTTCAGGTGGGGACTGGCAATTACTGTCTTTTCATGAGCACCTGGTCAGATTCAAAATCAGAATTTAAGATGGACAAATCAAACCCACTAGGAAGGGAACTGTTAGAGGATGCTGTGTAAACGTGTGTCCATGGGCTTAGAGCCAGGCGTGTACAGCCGGCCTGCCCAGTCAATATGGTTAGTGTGCATGGGTTTAGAGCTAGGCATGTACAGCCGGCCTGCCCAGTCAATGTGGTTAGTCTGTTAGAGAGTATGAGGTGATCCTTGATTGGTGGTGTTTCTATAAACCACAGGATCTCATCTCCTCAGCATATATGTGTAATACAGCTCTCCTCTAATCAATTGAACCATTCCACACAATCTCTTTCAGGAACCAATATAATAGCACCTCTGGTCCTAGACTTTTTGCAAAACCAGCTCCAGGTAATATTTCAATAACCATTTCATAACATTGGTGTCCATTGGAATTTGGGATGATGTGAAATATCCAATAACGACATTTTGTACCCTATAACTTTAGAAGAAGATTGATATAGGAAAATTGGCATGATAACCAATAATCATTTATTCTACAATTGTTTAATCACTCCACTTGATAAAATTAATATTTAATAGAGTGGTATCAAGCTGGACATTGTCAGAAGTAAGCTAGTTCCCCATATACTTCACGCTGAACTATGTAAAGAATGCAATCAGACCTTACCATTTTCATTATTGATAACATTTATTATGGAAAAAATAACCTACCTATTATCTAAATACCCTCCATACAGCATTGTGCACATCAGAAAAGAAAGAAAATCTTTATTTTACAAGGGAGTATGAAATCTAAAGAGGTAATTTGTCTCTCAATATACTCTATTATCAGACAACAAAAAGAGTGGGTGGCAAAATACTCTCCACTTTGAAATAAGAAAAACGCTCCTGTTCCAATTCAATACAAGCTAAAAAACTAAAATAGCTCATTGTATCTCATTGATTTAATAATTAATATAAGAAACTGCAGAGAGCAACGTATTATCATAAGAAAATAGGACCTACCAGGAACTCATCATCAGCTGATAAAGCAGTTTCAATAACCTCAGGTTGTGCTGTGACTGCTGGCTTGAGGTCATCATCACCAATTGACCTTGTAACCTGTTAGAAAAAGCCTCATTTCTATAAACAAAAATTTCAATCTTTTAAGCAAGCATCATTTTTAAGCAAGTAGAGTAGCAGACTCCAGCGCAGCATCATTTATACTACTTACTGGCTACTGCCACAAGTCACAAAAGTGACATAGAAAAAAAGATGGAACATTTTTCTTATGACCTTAGTTCCTGTAACTAATCAATTCATCTCTAGTTTGGGGATGCACAGAAAAAAAATGAATGGAGGACTTAATTCCTGATGATATAACGTAACACAAAACTAGTGGAATGCTGAGGTGACGAGATTTAAGAGATGTGTATGGACTTTTTAAGCAAAATATATTAGAGTTGAAGCCCAAGGCACCATTAAAAATTCATATAGCTGTAGAAAACATCCTGGAGTAAATCAAACTTTATAACTTTGCTAATCATGTGATGGAATGATGTAGAAGTCTTCCTTGATCCATATAATCTTGTGTGGCAATTATTTTCCATGGCAGATTTTCCTTTTATGAGCTAAAGGTTTACCATGCATGAAGTACTGTTCCATTGCTAAATACCAAATACCAACTATTCATGTGACCAATAGGAGCACAGTAGCTCATTAGTTTTCTTTTTACCAGAAGTGCACAGATAATTCAATACTTTGACCAAACAAGTTGCAAGGTAATGACCAAGCAGTCAAGCACCATCTTATAACTGAGAGAGGGGACAAGTAAATTTACAAGAAAACTTATTAGAAAGCAATAATGGAAAAGTGACTGCTTGCAACATGGTCACAAAAGAGCACTTGCTTCATGGATGAACAATTGAACAAAAAAGATTTTGCCAGTTTCTTGCCGACCATGGGGCGTGGTCGAGTCGGTACATGGCAAGAAGGGTCAATTTGAGCACCTGAAGAGCAGCTGAACCCACTCGCCAAGTATCTATTTGCCATTTTACTTCAGTTCCTGCCTTTGTTACTCGTTCTCTTTCATTTGGACAACTAGCGACATGATCCTATAACAACAGATTGAAAATAAAGTTGTGCAAGAGATGGCATACTACCAAAAAAAATGTAGTAATGATATAGAAAGGTTAATCCCAACCTTGGTCAACGGAAATGGTTTGCCATTACGGCTCAAGATTGCTCGGCAATCACCAGCATTTGCTACAAAAAGCTTGTTCCTCACTATCAGGGCTGTTACTGCCGTGCAACCAGGATGCCAGTCTTTTTGGATTATCCTTTTTGACTTTCGGTGAAGAATTAGTTCTTCTCGAAATGCTATGTCAGTCCTTACAAATGCTTCTGAAAGGGCGTCAGTTGGGCTGCAAAATGCCAGAACTCAGATCGATACATGGCAAATATTTGAGATTGTTTGCATTCAATACAAACTGACAAACCTTGCACCCTGACCAAATTGCTTGAGAAATCCAGGGACTGCTCGGACAGAAAATTCAGCAGCTGCTGAACCTGTGAAAAGTTTTTTTTTTTTGTAAGAAATGCTAATGTAAAAGCTAGCAAAGATCAACCAAACTATGTGTTTTGACTAGCGAACCTCTGTGGCCATCAAAAATGCCAAAGGCAAAAACATCCTTTTCTTCACTCATATGGGGAAGCACAAAATGGGTATCTTCCATAGTTTCCCTTCGACCACATGTTGCAAAAGAGCCCCAACTTAATGTTGGATGATACTCTGAGGACTGATCGAAACAACCAGACCAAAGATTCTTAAGATCTGATCTACTTGATCTCTTAACAAAAAGCTCCCCTTGGTTGAACCAGTTCAATGCTTCTTGATAATGGTGCACTTCTATGGTACAATTTTGACTCTTGCTCACAGCAGATGATGGAACGGAAGCATTTGAAACTAAATGCTTTTGAACTGTATTTAGCTCATCAATTATATCATCAAATGATGGTCTCTTTTCAGGATCAGGATCCCAGCAACGCTGGATAAGTGACAAAAGAGTTGGTGGGGCACCAGATTCAGGAAGGGCAAGTGCTGGACGCAATCCTTGAGAAACAATTGCTGCTGTAAGTTGTTGTTCAGTATATGTCATTTCAAGAACAGTGTGTGCCTAAACAAAATATGGCCAATGGTCACTTCTAGATAAAAAAATGGATCTGCAATGTTAACTACAGTGAACTGTATATGGATAGAATAGAACTAATAAATGCATAAACCAAGTAAAACACACTTGAAGTTAAATATTATAAAAGTTCCATAGTAAATCAAATTTCAACATATTAGAATAGGAACTATTCACTGATTGTTATAACCACAATAAGCAAATTTCTAACTGCAGCTGAATGGCAAAGCAATTATGGTAACCTTTTCTGCTAGGCATTATGGAATACATTATATTATAGAATGATTGTCGCTCATAATCAATCAGATGAACTTTTACAACAAAATTGCATTAAACAGGAGAACACTTTAACAAACCCACAGAGAACATAAAAGAACAATTAAATACCTGTGCTTCTGCTCTCAGATCTGTATAAGGCACCACACCAGTAAGAAGCTCACTGTAAGTTATTGGAACGGAGAGGAAGTGTTAAAACATCATGACTAATGATGCTAGCAGAATACTTTGCCTTGTACTGAACGAATTGTCACATGTACAATGATGCAACATAGTTGAATATTCTAGCAAAACCTCTTGCCCATCACATCATAACTAATGGTTAAAATGGATTTACTGTTTGAAGTACACAGCTATGTTAGACTACCCAGAGCATAATCAGTGCTGAAAAAAAAATCACCGTACGCCACCTCATACCGATGCCAGAAACTATACAAGTCACAGTGTTCGCATTGATGCATCTAGGTACATGGGACCCAAATTTGTCAAAATCATCCCTTGATTCTAGAGTCATTCATGACCTGAGGACCTGCTGAAAAATACTTTTTTATATGTCTAGCATCGAGGAAAGAACATGACTCAAGGCTTGTGATTTTTGGTTCAGCATCGGAAGATGACACGAGTCTTGTGATTTTTGGTTTAGCATCGGTTTGCACAATGGGTGACCTCGATGCTTCAACGTTATCTCTCCTCTTTCAGCATTGGTAAAAAAAACAGCGTTGTGGCTTCAAGCAAATTCACTGGGAGTGCGGTGGTTGGTCACCGAGTTGTGTTACCAGCCAGTTAGTGTTTTAAGTCCTGGGGAAAACTCACTGTGACACCCCAAAAAATAGTGGCAGGGCGGTTTGGCTGTGGTTTCTTCTCAGTGCAAAGCCGTGAGGTGGCCTTTTCCCCACTGGTTGAATTTTTTTATGTAGTTCAATCAGTTCCATGTCCCTTCCACAAATCTCATCATTGGTGGAATTACATAGCAGAGGCAATGACATCAATGCTGTTAAGGTATAATAGTCAGGGGTATTAGCTAAGTTGCACGGATACGGATACGTGTATTGGTATCGGAAGGATACGGATACGCGGATATGGCAACAACAACAACAACAAAGCCTTTAAGTCCCAAACAAGTTGGGGTAGGCTAGAGTTGAAACCCAGCAGAAGCAATCAAGGTTCAGGCACGTGAATAGCTGTTTTCCAAGCACTCCTATCTAAGGCTAATTCTTTGGGTATATTCCATCCTTTCAAGTCTCCTTTTATTGCATCTACCCAAGTCAACTTCGGTCTTCCTCTGCCTCTCTTCACGTTACTATCCTGGCTTAGGATTCCACTACGCACCAGTGCCTCTGGAGGTCTCCGTTGGACATGTCCAAACCATCTCAACCGGTGTTGGACAAGCTTTTCTTCAATTGGTGCTACCCCTAATCTATCACGTATATCATCATTCCGAACTCGATCCCTTCTTGTATGACCGCAAATCCAACGCAACATACGCATTTCCGCGATACTTATCTGTTGAACATGTCGTCTTTTCGTAGGCCAACATTCTGCACCATACAACATAGCAGGTCTAATCACCGTCCTATAAAACTTGCCTTTTAGCTTCTGTCGTACCATTTTGTCACATAGGACACCAGATGCTTGGCGCCACTTCATCCACCTTGCTTTGATTCTATGGCTAACATCTTCATCAATATCCCCGTCTCTCTGTAGCATTGATCCTAAATATCGAAATATATCATTCCTAGGCACTACTTGACCTTCCAAACTAATATCTTCCTCCTCCCGAGTAGTAATGCCGAAGTCACATCTCATATACTCAGTTTTAATTCTACTGAGTCTAAAACCTTTGGACTCCAAAGTCTCCCGCCATAACTCCAGTTTCTGATTCACTCCTGTCCGGCTTTCATCAACTAGCACTACATCATCCGCGAAAAGCATACACCAAGGGATGTCCCCTGTATGTCCAATTTCCCAAAAAACCCGATACGCAGATACGTTTACTATTTAAAAAATAAAATAAAAGTAATAATAATGCAGGTCTGAATTTAAAACTGATAACAATAAAACGTCGCAATTAACTACTTAAGTACTATTATTACATCAATACCGTATTAGTGTAATCACCTAGTCTAGGGTTTCCCTCTTGTGTCCCTCATCTACTCTATACATAGTCCTCATTGGGCCTCAATACCATTATCCAATTCAGCCACTCTTATCTGTAACCTGTAACATGGTACAAATGCATGCAACCTGGATCAAATTATCAAACACCTGGTTGCATTCTAGGGGTCCAGGTAGACACAGACATGGTGGCGAAGAATTTCTGGCAAGTCACTGATATGGTAATACTGCTGTAGTTATTTATTCTCAAACACTATAGTAGCACCTCTTGTTCACATAAATTAAAAAAGTAAACTTCAAAACAAAATTAAAAAATGTAGTATCATTTAATGTGTATCAACATGCTAATATCACTGTAAGCTACCCCCCAAAAATAAGATGTATAATGTATGTCATGTATACAACAAGAGAATTTATCTTTATGTGTGTGAATATGGATTGATTGCACATGTCAAAGAAGTGTTCTGTAGGCAATAGTGTCAAACACATGTTGCACACGGGTTATGTAACTCTCCATGTATTAGTCTATGTGAAATAAGCGACTTCCTCGGCTACAGATATGACACCTGTGTCAGATCAACCATTTTCCTATAAGCAGGTGAAATTACTGCTGTTACATGACATTGTATTAACAATAGAAACACTGCAGAAATAACATATGCTGTAGTGTTGTGGTGAAGTTGCTGAATAGGACGATGTCATTTTACATTCAATTCTAGAGGAGAGATGCCTTACTTGATAGATATTGCAAAGCTATATACATCAGACTTTTCTGTATGTATATCCTTTCTCAAAATTTCTGGTGCCATGTAAATTAGTGTCCCAACCATATTCTTTTTATGGAAACCACCAGTGGGCTTGCCAGATGATTTCCAGTTCTCAACTGAAACAGGCTTAATATCCTTTTGAAACATGGCTAAGCCAAAATCTGCTAGATGTGGTTGGAGGTCTTTGTCTAACTGTACAAAGTTATAAGCCTCCATAAATGTATAGAAAAAGATAGAAATCTGTTGTGCTGAGAATTACATGATTCTACACAGATATAAGAAAAATGCTTGCACATACCAAGATATTTGCAGGTTTTATATCTCTGTGTACTACCCCAAGGATTTGTAGGTACTGGAGAGCCTTTGCTGCAAAAATATTGTGCAAAATGGTATGAAACTAGTAATTTTCGACTGTTCGAATAACAGATATGTAACTCAAACAATATCAAGCAGGACATTGCCACCTAACAAGGATAAACAATATTCATGCATGTGCTATTATTTTCCAATCAGACGACAGCTGATGCTTCTTTGAATTAGCACCAATACTTGGTCCAGGAACTTTAAGCTGACAATATCTTTTGTCTTTATACCCAAACTTTGGCAACACTATTTTTCCTTAATCCTTAGCGATTCATTTGCCAATACAAATATACATGTTCAGTTTATTTTTGTGCATCGCCATGGCATTGTCTTGTTTACATTGCACTAAACCACATTGAATTAGGCAATTATAATAGTGAAAGTTTTAGTTGACCACAATGAAGTACCAAAACTTTTGAAATATATAAGGGTATGAAAAAAAGTAGGCTAGATTCTGAAATTCCTGTGGATCAGAAATAACAGGTGCAACTACAACAACTTGTGTGTTTGAGGGGGCTAACAGATTTAGTCCCCCGTCAAAATGAAAGGAGCTTTGCAGATTGGTGGCGCAAGACGATGAGAAGAGTAAAAAAGGAGCACAAAAAAGGAGTGAACACTCTAATTATTCTTGGCGCCTGGACTATTTGGAAACATAGAAATGCTTGTGTGTTTGAGGGGGCTTCTCCTTCGGTTAACACAATTTTGTGTGAACTGAAGGGATGAGCACGGCTTATGGTGCATGGCTGGTGCAAAGAAACTGCAGGGGTTAGGACTTACTTTTGCAATCTAGGGCAGTTGAGTCGTGTGTGCTAGCTATGTGGAAAAGTTTTGAGTCTGTGTAATTGCCTCACTCATATTTGGTCCCCGTATGAGTGAGGATCCTGCTGAGGACCACCCATTCTCTTTAATACAATGAAACACAGCTCTCCTGCGTTTTCAAAAAAAAAAAAAAAAAAAAAACTACAACTACAGTTCTCCAGTTGGGTACAACAATTTGTGCATAATCAAATGAGCAAATAAAAAAAAAGCCTTTACAGAGAAGTGAGCAAGGTTGAAGCAGATCGAATTTCAAGAGCATGAAGACAGAAACCATATTACGACAAACTATCATCGTTTCATTCTGACAACTGATTCTTAGTTAAAGACATTCTGCTTGTAGCATGTTCGAAAGTACCATTTACGCAAGCTTGTTAAATTAGATCCTCAGATAGAACACTCTCCAGTCTCCAGTTTCAACATTATACGTCCTATAGTAACCCCTAAGGTATATACTTATTTTGATATCGAGTATCACAAGATATGTAGCAAACACTGACCTAGATCACTGGCAATCGCAACCACTTGCTGGGTAGAAGGGATCCATTCCTCAACATGTATCTTTTCTGCGAGGTTTGGAGGCTCGAAGAAGTCAAAGAACATCAAGTAATTTGGAGGGCGTGCATGTGCTGCGATCAGTTTTGCCAACCCAGGGTGGTCCAGATCACTGCATACACACAAGAAATTCCAAATTAATGAAATATAAATATAGAAAGAAGCTTTTTTCATTTATGCAGGATGCAAACGCCCATTCCAGCCAACAGCTCATACATAAAAAAGGTAACAGTTGCCACAATGCAAAGTGTCAGAATGCAATGCATCCAGAGAGCAAGCCTCCATGCTTTCCTCATGGGATCCATCATCAACGTTTACAATAGCTTGTGTGCAAGCAGCTTTACTCCAACCAAAAAACGTTGTATTCACAGTTTGCTGGAGTTTCCTACTCCCTCAATTGCACATTGTAACACGTTTTAGCTTTTCTAGATACATAGCTTTTTCTATGCACTTAGATATACACTATGTCTAGATACATAGTAAAAGCAATATATCTAGAAAAGCCAAAATATTTTGCAATTTGGAACCTAGCTAACATTCTTCTATTCAAGGTGATATCATGTTCATGAATCAAGCAAGATTGACCTTTCCATAGCAGCATGGTCCTTATATCAACATAATGAATTTGACCTTTCCATAGAGATTATGTCCACATATTTGTGGCAGTATTCAGATTAGTTCTGTGTATTACTACTTGCTGAAGTAAATGATGACAAACAGGCTTTTATCAGCCGTCCACGACATTTGATAGGCAAGCAAGATTGCAAGAATAAGGCCATCATAAATAATTTTCATGCCTATTTGTTTGGAAAGGAAGCTTTGCCTGCTGTGTTATCTACTTATCTCATGATATAACCAGATATCAAGAGAAAACCTTTTTATAGCTAAGATGAATAGCAATTTCCGTAATCATCTTTTTTTCTATGGGAACCAATTAGTACGGAGACATAACCAGAGGTTCGTGTTCATCACAATTACTGGCCAATGAAATAATTTAACATTAAACATTAGCTTCCTATCCATCAATGAAACTGTTCGCATTACTATCTATTTTTCTATTTTTTTCTAAAACAAAACTCCTATGCTATTACCTGAGTACCTGACTCCACTATATCTATGTATGCTGATGGGATAAGTCTCTGTGTTGGCTGGTCTTTGTGAGGCTTTAGCATATGGTCCTTGTGGCTGCATGGTGGTCTTGCTGCCCATCAAGGACAGCATCCTTGACTGGCTAGGACAGCATCTTAGCATGGCATCTAGGACAGCATCTTAGCATATGGTTGGCTGGCTAGCAGCCTACAAATATATATCCCCAACCCCTCAGGCTAGTATGACATTTGTGTGAGAAATAAACCAGAAAATTGTCCCAACTCCTAGTGTCATCCTCTCTCGATCAGAGTAAGAATTCTGCTACTATCAAGAGTAAGAATTCAGTAACTAACAACTAGTATCGGATCCAGACTATCACCGTGAGTCCGAGCATCTCCCGCTCATCTCCTTTTCCCAGCCCAATGCCTCAGCCCGGGTGGAGCAGCGCTCTCGCCGCGCTCTGTTCCTCCCTCTCCCCTGAGTCTCAAGCAGGGCCCCATCACGCTGCCCCCCCGGTAGCGCGTCATGTCAGCAGGCGTCTCGGCCATTAGCCTCGGGATGGCGTCGGCAGAGGCCGAACTTGCCGCAGCAGAAGAGCACGAATGGCGGAAAGCAGATTGGAGCGCGGTAAGGGCGCCGAGGTCAAAGCAGCGCAGCAGGCGGCGGCAAGCGGATGCAGCGCGTGGCGGCGAAGGTCGAGGTTCTGCGGCAAAGACGCCAGCTCGTTCTGCTGGCGACGCGGCGACGCGGACCTCGGCTGCTGAGGGGAGGAGCAAAGCGCCTTGGCGGCATGATAAGCGCGGCGTGCGGCACGCCCACGCAGCGGTGCAGCAGACAGCGCGGACGCCGCGGCGGCGCTCGGAGGAGCGCGCCGCCGGCGGTGCTCTGGAGGAGGCGCATACGCCGCGGCGCTCTTGGGGTAAGCGCGACGCCGCCGGCGCGCCTAGAAAGGAGGCGCGGCGGTGGCGCTCTGGGAGGTCGCGCAGCGGTGGCGGCTCTGGAGGAGTCGCGCCGGCGCGGCGCCTGGAGGAGCGCGCGCGCAACGGTGGTGGCGACGGGTTGATGGAGAGCGCGGCCTTCTCACGCAGCGTGGGTTTCTCCCGGATTGGTACCGTGGTTACCACGGGAGTGCGTTGTCGGGGACGCCGGCCCGGCGGTGGGTGGCCTACCCTCGCTAAGACCAACTACGCCGAGTGGGCTGCGGTGATGAGGTAAAGCTCAAAGCGCGCGGCACATGTGGGAGGCGGTCCGGTATGGCGGCGTCGACTACAACTAGGATCGACGCAAGGCTGGATGCCTCATCATCGCTGCAGTCCCGTCCGAGATGCGATTCTCGCTACCAACAAGCGGATCGCCAAGAAAGCTTGGGACGCCATCGCTGCGGCACGCGCGCCAGCGACGACCGCGCCCGCAAGTCCACACTACGTGCACGCCGCAGGAGTGGGAGAACACGGCCTTCAAGCGGTGAGGATGTTGATGACTTTGCTTGACTTTGCTCTCCGTCTCAACACATTGCGTAAGATGGTGCGATTGGCGATGACACACCCCACGGCAAGGAGAGAGCATCGAAAGCTCTTCCGCTGCGTCCCAGAAGTACAAGCAGATGGCTTGCTCGATCGAAGTCAGGCCGGATCTTCCACGATGTCGATCGAGGAGGCGATAGGTCGCCTCAAGGTCATCGGACAATGACGAGCCATGATATCTCTCGGGGCCCATCACCACCGCCTGGAAGCTCCTTTCACTCGGAGCAGTGGGATGCTCGCTAAGGTAAGCGGAAGAAGGGGAGCCTTCGGCGATAAGCGCCGCAAGCGTGGCAAAGCGCGAGAAGCCTGCCAAGCCGGGCGCGAGGACGTGGCGAGGTGATGCCCGCGGAGGTGCCTGCCAGGCGGCGCGCTGGCAAGCACAAGCCAAGACGAGACGACACTCGCCTAAGCGCGGCCGGCTTTGGCCATTGGGCCAAGGATCGCGACAAACCACAACGCGGCTAGGCCCACGTCGCCGCGACAAAGAGGAGGAGGAGACGACTGTTCATGGCACATGCAAGCATCGAGCTACCTCCGGTGGTGCACGGCCGCAGCTCTCTCCTCCACCTTGCGGAGTCAAAGCACCACGCCTCCTCGGCGATTTTGCTCAAAGAACGACAAGGCCGGCGACGGTGGTGCCTCGACACCGGCGCCACCCATCACATGACCGGTCGACGGAAGTTCTTCACCGAAAGCTTGACTCTAGCGTCCCGAGGCTCCGTCAAGTTTGGGGATGCCTCCGCGTGGAGATCAAGAGCGTTGGCTCCGTCATCTTCACTGCGGTGTCCGGTGAGCATGTGCCGCTCACCGAGTCTACTACATCCCCGCGTTAAGAAACTCTATCATCGCGACTTGGGATTTGGATGAGAATGGTTCGCGTGGTGGTTGAGAATGGAGTCATGAGGATTTAGGATCGCCGTCGCGCCTTCTTGCCAAGGTAACGAGAAGCGCAAATCGACTTTCACGAGCCCTTAACGTGCGGTGGCACAACCCTTTCTGAGCCGCCGTCGTCGGGATGACGAGGCGTGGCGAGGCACGCAGCGCTTTGGCACCTTTCACCGAGGCCGGTGGCGGCTCAAGGCCACGGAGATGGTGCGAGGCCCGCCGTGCCTCGACCATGGGGGGCAGCCTCGACCCGCGTCTGCGTGTTGTGGGTGATGGTCCATTTCCCCAATGGGCGAGCTTTTGAGCCAAGGAGAGGCTCGAGCTTGTGCACGGGACTTGTGTGGCGTGTGACGCGGCCACACCGGAGGACGACGCTACTTCGCCGCTGCCGTCGACGACCTCTCCCGCTACATGTGGGTGATGGTCCTCTCGGCGGCAAAGGGAGAGGTCGGGCGACGCCATCAGCGCGCAAGACAGTCGTCATGTGGAGGCGGCGGCGTCGCGGCGCGCAAAGCTGCGCGTCGTCAGCGCGACCGACAACGGCGGCGAATTCACAGCGGCATTCGCGTCGCATCAGGCCGATAAGGGCATTGGCCACTACTTCTGCTACCAGATAGCCCGTAGCAAAGCGGCATCGTCGAGCGGCGCAACCAGACGGTTGTGGGGATGGCTCGGGCCCTTCTCAAGCGAGAGGGGATGTCGGCCTGTCTTCGGGAGAGGCGGTGATGTCGGCCGTCTACATCCTCAATCGCCGCCTACCAAAGGCGCTCGACGGCAGGACGCCGACGAGGCTTGGCATGGGCGCGCAAGCCGACGGTCTCCCACTTGCGGGTCTTCTACCGCCTCGCGTTCGCCAAAGAGCTGGCCACACAAGCAAGCTCGATGGCGAGAGCACCGGAAGTGTTCGCCGGCTACGCGGAGGGCTCGAAGGCCTCATCGCATCCTCGACCAAGACACGGCGTGTGCGCGCAAGACGACGCGCGACGTTGTGTTCAACGGCGGGCGAGGATGGGCGTGGGACAAAGCGGTGGACGACGGCTCGGCTCCGACGCACGACGACTTCTTCGTCGAAGTACGCCCACCGAGGGAGCCGGAGGAGTAGGGCGGCTCTTCTTCGACGAGCGTGTCACCCCGATCCTCGAGCCTCCACCGACCCGGCGCTACCGCTATTTCGACAAAGACCACGCTCTCCGGCCAAGACCACCATTGCGATGAGTTCTTCGCCGGCTCCACCACGGCCCGACACCAAAGACCGACAGCACCACTCCGCACGCCCACTCCAACACCGGCCGTGTCGAGCATGGCCCGGTTGTGCTGCGCACTCCGCTCTCTCACGACGAGGGCGCGCGATCGACGCGCACCACGACGGCGAGCCGTTGTGGTACCGTGACGATGGAGAACCTTCTCGGCGACCGGTGCAGGCCCCGGTGCCTCACGGCCGGAGGCGCGATTGCACCTTGCGTGTGACAACGGCGAGCCTCGATGCGTTCTTCGAGGCCGAGAGACACGTGGCATGCGCCGCGATGCAATTGGAGATGGATGCGGTTGAGAAGAACCGCACTGGGAGCTTCTTGACCTTCTCGTCGTGGTCACTGCGCGATCACCCTTAAGTGGGTGTAGAAGTCGAAGAGGATGAAGCCGGCGCCATCGTCAAGCACAAGGCTCGCTTTGGTGGCATGAGGTTTAAATGCGACAAGAGGGGCCGACTTCGACGACGCCTTTGCTCCCGTGGCACGGATGGAGTCCGTGTGACTCCTTGCGCTAGCTGCCCAGGAGGGCTGGCGTGTTCATCACATGGACGTCAAGTCGGTGTTCCTTAACGGCAACTTGAAGGAGGAGGTCTACGTGCACCAGCCGCCGGGATTTGCGATCCCCGACAAGGAGAGCAAGGTGCTCCGCCTGCACAAGGCCCTCTATGGCTTGTGGCAGGCACCGAGGGCGTGGAATGCCAAGTTGCATTCAGCGCTAAAGGAGATGGGCTTCGAGCAAAACCTGCACGATGCGGCCTTCTACCGACGGGGCAGTGGAGGAAATGCTCTGCTGGTGGGTGTCTACGTCGACGACTTGGTGATCACCGGCACCAAGGATGCGGAGATGGCGGCATTTAAGGAAGAGATGAAGGCCACCTTCCAGATGAGTGACCTGGGGCCTCTCTCCTTCTACTTGAGAATCGAGGTGCACCAGGATGACTCCGGGATCACGCTTCGACAGACCGCCTACGCCAAGCGCGTCGTTGAGCTAGCTGGGCTCATCGACTGCAACCCAGCTCTCACTCCGATGGAGAGGCTGAAGCTGAGCCGCTACAGCACGACAGAGGAGGTGGACGCTACGCAGTACCGGCGTCTTGTGGGGAGCCTTCGCTACCTCGCCCACACACGGCCGGACTTGGCATTCTCCGTTAGCTACGTTAGTCGGTTCATGCAGCGACCGACGACGGAGCACCAGCAGGCTGTGAAGAGGATCATGCGTTACGTTGCGGGGACTCTCGACCACGGCCTCTACTACCCTAGGTGCCCTAGGGCGGCACACTTCGCCGAGTACAGCGACAGCGACCACGCCGACGACATCGACACCAGCAAGAGCACGAGCGGGATCCTCTTCCACCTCGGCAAGTGCCTCGTTAGCTGGCAGTCGGTACAGCAGCAGGTGGTGGTCCTGTCCAGCTGCGAGGCCGAGTACATAGCGGCCTCCACCGCTTCGACTCAGGCGCTCTGGCTCACTCGACTGCTGGTGATCTCCTCGGCAGAGACACTTGAGCGGTGGAGCTCAGGATGGACAGCAAGTCCGCTTTGGCCCTGGCAAAGAACCCCGTTTTCATGAACGGAGTAAGCACATCCGGGTGAAGTACCACTTCATCCGAGGCTGTTTGGAGGAAGGGAGCATCAAGGCGAGCTACATCAACACCAAGGACCAGCTTGCGGACCTGGTTACCAAGCCTCTTGGGAGGATCAAGTTCCTTGAGCTCTGCTTCAGGACCGGGATGGTTTAACTTTCCCACAAGACGACGCACAAGACTTAAGGGGAGAATGATGGGATAAGTCTCTGTGTTGGCTGGTCTTTGTGGGGCTGCAGCATATGGTCCTTGTGGTTGCATGGTGGTCTTGCTGCCCATCAAGGATAGCATCCTTGACTGGCTAGGACAGCATCTTAGCATCTAGGATAACATCTGTTTTAGGACAGCATCTTAGCATCTAGGACAACATCTTAGCATGGCATCTAGGACAGCATCTTAGCATATGCTTGGCTGGCTAGCAGCCTATAAATATGTATCCTCAACCCCTCAGGTTGGCATGGCATTTGTGAGAGAAATAAACCAGAAAATTGCCCCAACTCCTAGTGTCATCCTCTCTCGATGAGAGTAAAAATTCTGCTATTACCAAGAGTAAGAATTCAACGACTAACATATGCATCAGTGAAGCTTGACAGCCAACAACTGTTTTACGCAATTACAAATCTCAAATATCTGAGTCAATAGTAAACATATATGCTTGGATTTTTTTCTCTCTAAAGATTCGATCATCTGTTCCAATGCTTATCCCCGTTAATGAGTTCTAACCAGTCAGATTACTGTTTTGGAGCAGGCAGTTGTAAGTAACAGAAACATTCCAAAGCCACTATGTCGCTGCCTCGTCATCCCAGAATCAATACTTTGTAGATACTGAATTAGGAAAGTGCATCTCATGGAAATTACTGCTGACCACTGAGCATGTAGCACTAACCAGTCTCACCAAGCAATGCAAGTTCAGAGGTATCAGGGTGATAGCCAAAATCTTTTAGTAGACCCATCAGATCATCCAATACTGCATATATCAATTCTGCCTGTGGGTGTTCTGTCCCTCTTGCAATGAACGTATGAACCTCCTTCATCACCTCAATCCAACTATAACCTGGCTCCTTCACCGCCCCAGCATAATCCATCCTCAGTCTTAGCTGCTGCACATCCGCCCATAGCCCTTTGGAGGCATAAATATTTGAGAGTAATACATAAGGGCCACTGTCTGACGGATCTCCCAAGAGTGCCATTTCAGCGGCATACCTCCCAATTTCAACATTACCAAAGAGACGGCAGGCACTCAGCAAGCTCCTCCAAACAGCTGCCGCTGGTTTGATTGGCATCTTTTCAATAAACTCCTGAGCAGAATGTAATCTCCCTGCACGACCAAGAAGATTGACCACTGAAGCATAATGCTCGGTGCCCGGTTCAACACCATATTTTGATTTCATGGAGTTAAAATGGTGTAAGCCTTCATCCACAAGACCTGCATGAGCACATGCTGATAGCACACCAACAAAAGTCACATAATTTGGTTCTACATTGGCCTCTCTCATCAGCTGGAAAGCACGAAGTGCTTCTTCAGCATGACCATGTTGTGCATTCGTAGTAATCATGGAGTTCCAACAAATAACATCCTTCCCACATGTTGACTCAAACAACATCCATCCTTCTTTGATGCAGCCACATTTTGCATACATGTCTATAAGAGCATTTGAAACATGAGGATTAATGTCACAACCTGCTTTGATGATATGGGTATGAAACTGCTGCCCATGGAACATGCTTGCCAAGTTGCTTGCCACGTTTACTAGTGCTACAAATGTGAACTCATTGGGTGTCATCCCAGAGACACGAAGTTGGTTGAAGAGTTTTACCGCCTCTTCCCCTTGCTCATTCTGTGTGTGGCCAAATATCATAGCATTCCAGATGGCCATGTCCCTGTTTTGCATCATAAGAAACACAGCCTTGGCATCATCCACAAGGGAAGATTTTGAATAGGCATCGATTAGAGCACTTCCCACGTATAGGTCTACTGAAGTTCCTGATTTGATGACGAGGCCATGAATCTGCTTACTCCATTCAATAGATGACAGAAGTGATGACATCCCAAGTAGCGAAACAAAGGTTAGTAGGTTTGGCATTAGAGAGCAATATCTCATTTTACGGAATATATGAACTGCTTCTGTAAGATCACCTTGCCTTGCATAGCCTTCAATCATCGCATTGTAAGAGACTACATCATCATGTGCCAAGGCATCAAATGCCACTCTTGCAGCAGTTAAATGGTCACATTTAGCGTACATGTCAATGAGAGCATTCTTGACATACTCATCATTCTCCAGATTGGCCTTTATGGCATGGGCATGTATTTGTGTTCCTTGCGATATAGCTTCCATTGAGCCGCATGAGTTCAAGATACTTGTACAGGCAAAAGCATCTGGCTGCCATCCAGCCTGACACATCTGCTGGAACATTTCTATGGCTTCAGCATCAAGTGAATTCTGCATATAACCAGCGATCATTGTAGTCCAAGACACAAGATTATGGTTCTTCATTCGATCAAATAGCTTACGAGCCACTAACGGTCTGGAGCACTTGCAATACAAATCTATGAGCGCGTTGATCACGGAAGCATCCACTCCTGCTGCACTTCGATAAGCGTAGCCATGTATTTGCCTGCCTCCCTGTAGAAAGGCAAGCGTAGAGCAGGCACTGACAGCACTTGCTAACACAAACCTGTCAGGCTGGACACCTTGAGCCCCCATCTTTTGAAACAAGTCAAGGGCTAGTCCGCCGTGGCCAATCCGAGAGTAACCGGTGATGACTGCTGTCCAAGTAATCGGATTCTTTGCAGGAAGAGCATGGAACACCCGCATGGCCGCATCCATGCAGGCAACCTTCGCATATAGGTTGACGAGCGAAGTGCCAACATAGAGATTAACATCCAGGCCAAGCTTGACGGCGTTGCCATGCACTTGCTCGCCAAGAGGAACAGCCCTGGACTGCATGCAGGCCCGCATGACACTGGCAAGCAAGAACTCGTTGGGTGCCTCGTCAGACGATCTCCTGAACGCTGCAAACAGGTCAAGGGCTTGGCTATCAGCGCCATGTTGTGCGTACATGGAGATGGCTGAGGACCAGGACACAAGGTTCCGGTGAGGCATTCCGTCGAACAGGCGGCGCGCATCGTGGATGCGGCCGAGCTTGGAGTAACCGTGGAGAAGAAGGTTCGCGAGGAACAGGAAGCCAAGGCCATCGGAGACGACGGCGCGGGCGTGGGCAGCCGGGAGAAGGCGGCCGAGGCGGCTGCCTGTGAGGCCGGAGAGCAAGACTTGCGCGAGGCTGCGCAACTGGGTGGGGGAGCACGAAACGGAGGAAGGTGAGCCAGACAGAGGCCCCCCAAGAAGATTCATTGTTCTACTATCTACTGGCCTGGGTGGGGGACAAATACTGATCATCCCCAATGTCACGATTCCAAAACAAGAGAATCAGCAGCAATTTTCCATCAGAAGTAATTCGATGGGAGAGAATGAAACAGACCAGAGGAGCTGGAGCTGGTAGTGGAACTTGTCGAGGTCCTCGGCGGTGGACAGCACAGGCTTCTTGGCCGCGGCGCGCTCGCCGCCCAGCAGCGCCTCGTACACAGTGCTCTCCGAGCCTGCACAGCTTTTCACCGTTACCACTACGCACGCGCCGTCCCCACCTCCGGAGCGCCACAACCGAAAGGGAGAGCCGAGAAGCGAGGGCTTAGCGTGTGGGGATACCTCGCGCGATGGGGGACAGGAGGAGAAGGAGGCGGGCGGGAGGTGGAGCGGGATGGTGGCGCTGCGGCAGCACCCGCGCACGCACCGGTTGAACTCCTCCGGCGGCACCTGCAGCCCCATGTTCACTGCCGCCGGGGGAAGGGGACGATTGGTGCGCCGGCCTGCGGCTTCGCTCTTGCTTGGCTAGAGGGAGGAACCCAGGAATGAGTTGGGGAGGCGGGCGGAGGGCGGCGTCGGTGGCGACGACGAGGCCACCGGGTGGTGTATGGATGATGGATCGATTCACGATTCACCCGAAAGGAAGGTGCGTTGACTGGTTCCTCCCTCTTTTTCTCCGTTACGCGAGTACCTTTGCTTCCAACGTGGCGAATCAGGGCACCACTAACATTCGTAGTGGTCTAGAAATAAAGTGATTCACGTATGGAAGGAAACGTTAAGAATACTATTTACATAATGTAAATTATTATTACTTGTGGTTTATAAAGAATTTTTTTTATTTCATCATATCTTATCTTTATTTTCTCTCCTTCTTCTTTTTAACATGGATCACTTTTTTCTCACTAAGCACACACATAGCTTCTGTAAAAATTATGATAAATATAGATCACCTATTTTTTTATCCGATCCTACGTAACATTTAGTAAAAAAGCAGCATTAAACTCTCATGAGACTTCTCTGGTTTTGCCATGTCAGACACGGGCACACGGCTGCCTTTGTGCCACCTTCGACCACGGTGTTACCACGTCTTAGCGCCATCGTGGGCGGAAGTTTAAAATAGTAGTAAAAAAATTGGCAGCTAATAAATCTGTCCTAATTGTCCTATCAAGACGGCGCTAAGCAACGTAGATATTGGTAAAATTCTCTATAAACTTATCAAAATAAAGGACTGCTCTAACTTTCTCAGCAGCAATTGGATCATCCCAAACGTTGATCTTAGGGAGGATCATAAGTTAATAACACTTCCAGGTGTCGAGTCAATATTGTCCAACAGTAAATGTGGTGTCTAGCTTGGCTCCAACGAGAGAGATGGCTACCTGCCTTTCATCGGTACAACCCGCAACCAGCGGTGGATCCAGGAAATATTTTAGGGGAGGCTGAACAACACTGCTGTTTGATCTTAAGTCTCAGCCCCTCCTACATTATAAAACTTTGCCTAAAAATTTATAGGGGCTCTACAATAATTTGCACTGATTCGGTATGGGTAGGGGGGGCTTGAGCCCCCCCGCCCCACTACTGGATCCGCTGCTGCCCGCAACTATTTTAAGTGTTGATATCACCTTGTTTTTATCTTCTTGCAAAGATTTTTATTGCATCTCAAATTTTACAGAAACATAGAACTTTTCATGGTCTATCCATTTATATTTTTGTTGGGAGTTGCTCCGGTGGTCCTCTTCAACAAAGTTGCATGTATCTCGAAGCGCCTGGTTAATTAATTAAAATTAATTTCGTTTGGAACTGGACTCGGGCTGACCCTACCCGTATCCAACCCAAGCCTAGCCGCAGGCAACCCCAGGCCCCAACCCAGTCATTCTCGATCTGGAGTTACGCACTCACGCACATCACTCCTATCTCCCTCTCTCCCCCTTCATTTATTCTCTCGTTGGAACAGCCAAACTGGAGAGGTGGCCGGCGCCGGCGACGGCGGCGACACTAGCCATTGAGTTTCCATCCTCGCCTTGATCCCCCGCTCTGCGCTGGTCTTGTAGTGCGGACTGCGGCGGCTACGGGCGGCGAGCAGTGGCAGGCGGCGGCTCTGTAGGGCTATGTGCCGATCTGCATGGGTATCCTCCGCTGTGCGCTGGTCTTGTAGTGTGGGTGGCGGCAGCGGCGTTGTACAGTGATGGCAGAGGCGGCGGCGGCGGACCGGGCGGACAGCGGCGGCGGCGGTATAAGCGACGGGCGACGGTCACCTGGATCACTCTACGTGGTGGCCACACCTCCGCCGCCTCTCAATTGCCAAGAGCTCCGGTGAGCCACACGTATCTCGATCTTGGTCAGTTTTAGTCAGTTTATCATTGTCTTACGTGATGAGAAATTTTGCGATGAGATTCAGGGAGGGTTCACGTTCATTTCCTGGAGGCAACATTGATGTAAATTTCTAAATTAGGATTATGTCAGTGATCACGCGTAATTGATACTTATGTGCTGGCTGCTGGACTAGGATAGGCTTAAATTTTGAGCTGCTTGCTTAAAATTTAGAACCAAATTTTACAGGATCAACCCCTCTGGCTTTAGCAGCTTTTGTACGGGAAAAGAATTTCTCTGGAAATGCTTCAACGGTCAGTTTAACCTGCATAATTGTTGACCTTTTGTAAAATGAAAAGGGAGATGGAAAGATCTTGTTGAAATATCTTTTTCTTTCCTTTTGGTTGAAGTGATGTCTTTAGTGAGTTTGGATTACTGTAGTTCCAAGATAAATTGTATGAGTTGTTAGTAGTAGTGTTCCAATTTAGAGCATACGCAGTTTAGAATTCCTGAGGTTGATATTGTGCCCTTTCTAGGCATGCACTCCCCTGTTTCATTTTATTAATCAGAATGGCAACAACAGGATTTGCTGAGCACCAGAACTAGTTTGTAATAACATCGCAGTATTTTGCTAACATGTAACCTTGACTTGAGCTCTAAATAGATGAAGTGAAGTGTATAGATATGCCAATTAATTTTTCTGGTTATATGCAGCTTGTCCAACAACCTACAGTATTAAGACAATTATTTGTTAACCTTTTGTGAAATCAAAGGGGAGATAGAAAGATCCTGTTCAAATATATTTTTCTTTCCTTTAGGTTGTCTGCTATCTTGCCTTTCCTACAGAATATGCTATCTGCACTCGTCCTTGTACTAGGAAATTTTTTTCCACTGAATAATCATATTTCCATTATATGTATGGAGTTCTCAACAGTTATTGAGTTTTGCTTGAAATGTGACGTGAACTGCAGCCTCGTAATGGATAACAGAGGTGAAGATGAACATGAGGAGGAATTGGACTTCCATCTTGGGACTGCTTCGGATGATGAAAACATGTTGTTGAATTCAAGTTTATCATCAATGGGAAAGGATGTTGGTGGGGATGCACAAAGAGATGCACCGGTAAATTATCCATATGACTTCCTATTTATTTCATCAGTATTGTGGGTTTGTGGCAGCTAGTTTTGTGACGATGTTTTATATGTCCATACTGATGAAACACAACATTTGCGTCTGCAGGAAGATGGCAACTATACTTATGACCATGATATATTTACGAGAATGGCATCTTGTGCAGAGATGAACAATACATTGGTGAGTACTAGGACATAGTCAAAAAGACCTTTGCATGTGAAGGAGAGGCTTACATTTTCTACAACAAGTATGTGAGGGACAAGGGTGTCATTGTCAGAAAGCAGAAGGTGAGGCGTGCCAAGTACTCTGGACAACTATTGTTCAGGCGGTTCTTGTTTCTCGAGAAGGCGAGTGAGAAACAAAAATGGCTATTCAAGTTTATCATCAATGGGAAAGGATGTTGGTGGGGATGCACAAAGAGATGCACCGGTAAATTATCCATATGACTTCCTATTTATTTCATCAGTATTGTGGGTTTGTGGCAGCTAGTTTGTGACGATGTTTCATATGTCCATACTGATGAAACACAACATTTGCGTCTGCAGGGAGATGGCAATTGTACTTATGACCAGAATATATTTACGAGAATGGCATCTGGTGCAGAGATGAACAATACATTGGATGAGTACTAGGACTAGTCAAAAAGACCTTTGCATGTGAAGGAGAGGCATACATTTTCTACAACAAGTATGTGAGGGACAAGGGTTTCAGTGTGTCGAAAGCAGAAGGTGAGGCGTGCCAAGTACTCTGGACAACTATTGTTCAGGTGGTTCTTGTGTTCTCGAGAAGGCAAGCGAGAAACAAAAATGGCTAGAGAAAGAGGATTTCAGCCATAGACCAAGAGCTCTAACTCGTTAAACTGGATCGTTAGGAAGGATGCATACAACTTCTCTTCTAGGTACAAGAGAGCTAGGATTGCACAAGGTGATGCAATGACAGTGTTAGGTCTCATGCAGACTAGGCAGAAGTGAAAGGTCCTTTTTTGGTTTTAGTAATTGAGTGATAATCTAGGTGGACTAATTGTGTTTAATATGAGATACACAGATAATTAATCCACAAGTACATGTGTGTGAGCAACATATGCCATGGAGATAAAAATGGCTCAGAGATGTTGCAAAGCTCACACATGTGATGAAGAAACATCATTGCATGAGACATGACATGGAGTCATATGACTAAGTTGGAGAAGATCAAGACAAAACTTGGCTTGATGGACCGGTTGCAAGTGTGAAGGGCAAGTTGAGTGATGACTTGGCGTCGATGGACCGAAACAATGGTGAAGAGCAAGTGAGGTCAAGATCGATGAACCAATATGGTCATGTGATAATATGGAGCGGATCATATCATTGTTGATCGTGTTGGTGCATGTGTTGCATCGACATTGGAGGAGATGGAATGGAATGCACAAGGCAAAGGTATAACCTATAGGGCATTTCATTTCACCGGTCATAGATGAGTAGAGAAGCTGATGACCTAGTTTAGAATAGATGGTTGTACTATCAAGAGGGGCAAACTTGTTTGCATATCGATCATCTAGTGCCACTTGAGTGATCTAACATTACGATATGCTAGGATCGAGTGACGTGGAAAGATCAAGTGAAAATACTTTGAAAATATTTGTGAAAATGCTAACACACATGCACATGGTGTTGTACACTTGATGGTGTTGGCACATTTGCAAAGGAGAAGTTTGAGTTGAAAAGGAGGGTTTCAGGTGTGACCGGACGCTGCAACATAGATCGGACGCTAGTGCAACATGCGTCCGATGCTAATGCAACTTTGACCGGACGCTATTGCAACATGTGACCGGACGCGCCTGTGTAACTGTTCCTTGACAGACAACACGCGCAGCAGTGTGACCTGATGCTGGGGGAGTCCAGTCAGTTGTGACCGGACGCGTCTGGTCGCTAAAATACCTCTCTGGAACCTCTCTGTTCGTGATCGGACGCTGGGTGTTGGCAACTCCGATCAAATGACCGGACACGGAGTTTGTTTGCACGCGTTGGGAGCTATTGGCGGGT